AGCTACACGAGGGCTTTTGGTGACGGACCACGTAATTTTGAACAATGGTCAAGTGAGTGGACGACACCTGAGCTGGCACCATCCCTCTCCTAACTACCACACCACACCAACGGGAGGACGTTTCAGCTCTCGACAGATTTAACGTCGTTTCTGTCCTACACGGCGGGTCTTCAGTGGTACTGAGCTCGAACTCGTGACAAGCAAGCCACAATCCGATACCTATACCACTCGGCTACCACGGCACACCTAAATCTTGAAGTGTGCCGCCAATTTTTTTTATAATTATTAATTATGCTCTAAGAAATAAAGTCTGGAAACGAATCATTCGATCGTTTTATAGAAATAAATTAAAGGTATATTCCTGGTATACTTAACTTATCCTTTCGAGGATATTTATGGATATAAACAGGACCGCAGTAGCCTAGTGGTCCAGGTAAGATCGTGGCTGGCTTGGCATTAATTCGAGCCAAGCACCATTGAAGACCAACCGTGTAGGGGAGTGATGCACGTCACATCTTTCGAGAACTCAAATGTCCTCCCGTTGAGGTGGTGTGATAGTTAGGAGAGGGAGTGCCAGTTCAAGTGTTGTTCTCATCACTTGACCATGGTTTAACATGATGAGGTCAAGTCCTCGTGTAGCTGAACAGTGCAAAGGGTAATATTCTTTCTCTCAATGGATATAAGCAAATTTGATTGGGTTCATAATCCCTTTGTGATAACGGATACATCTGTATATGAATTAATTTTGAATGAATGAAGAACTAATTTCGTTCAGTAATAATCGGGATTTAATTTCAAAACATTTGAAAGAGTCAATTTTGGATTAAAATTTGAGGCGGTTGTCTCATAAGCCCCCTTACACACACACACACAAAAGCTTTAAAAATATTGTTACAATTTTCTACATCTTATTTGCGTGAATTTGGATTTTCAGCATTAACAAAAACAGAAATGAAAAAAATGGTCGAGACTTTAAAATGTAGAAGACGAAATAAGAACGGCATTATCATTCTTACGACCCAATAAAACGAAATTATCAAAGAACATCTAGCTCGTATTCCGCATTCAATATATTTTAATTACTAATTTGTATTAGTTACTCAATAAATATTTTGCTGTTTTTGTAGTACATATTATTTTATTTAACACTGAAAATTATTACCATAAACTATTTTACACAGTGTATTATAGATAAATAATTTTTTTTAAATTTATTTTTTGTTGTTAGCGTGCTGCCAAATTTTGAAATATTTGAGGTATTCGAATACCCCTCAAATCATGATTTTTTTAGTGACAATTTTTCTTAGAATTTTATTTTAAAGGCTATCTTATTAATTTTTAAATGTATCAAGTTTTTTATTTTCTATTCACTAGAACAAAAACTACAAGTGTTTTAGCAAAAGAAGATGTCATAACATTACATTAGATGTCAAACATTAAAATCCGTTTTACTCGAAATGTGTTTTTTTTTCGAAAAGCTCAAACGGGGACAGCGATTACTCAAAAGTTTTTAAAATAATTTGCTGAAATGTTTTGTGTATGTTCTGTATAACCGTAGAATTTTTTTAACTTTCAGATTTATGAATTACTGTTTTATTACAAAACTTACAGTTCTTTATGTGAATATAATCACAGTTTTTTTAAGCAATTTCATTTAACAACTAGGATAAAGTGCTCTACTGTTTGTAAAAATTAAAATATACTGAAGGTCATTTCAAAAAGGAATAGCACAGTAGTACATCAAAATTGAAAAATTGAGAATTTGTTCATTTACTATTTGTACACAGCGGACCCCATTTACGTAATTTTTTATCAATTTTTACCCATTTTTTCCCATCTTAGTAGTAATAATTTATTTTTATCTTCTTAATTTTAGCCTTCTTTTTTCTTAAAACGTACTAAATAAATCTAAAAACTACAAAAAAAAACTCCATACCTCCATTTTTTTTTAAAAAAAATTTGTCGCAAGTAGTCGGATACCTTAAAATTGTACCGCAACAAGAAAAAGGTTTAGAATCCCCGATTTAGAGTAAACGAAAATTAAATATGTGGCAGCCTCCTTCCACAAGACTGCCCATTTAATTTATTACACAAATGTGTAAAAGGAAATATATATATATATATATATATTATTTAAAGATCAAACGGATGAAAAAGCAGACTTCAATATTTCTGTAGTACTGCAATACTGATTGGAAAAAAAAGGAAGAAAAAAAAACATCTATTGTTCTTGTAATCTTTCCAGATAACTATTTTTATAAGTTTTTTTTCTCACAAAAACTATGAAAAAATGCGTACAAGTTAAAAGCATCAAAATTAAGCGATTGAAATTTCAATCAAAACAGATATGATATTTTTAAAGCTTTCTTAATGGTGACATTTTAACTGACAAGAGGATGCAGTGATAATAATATTCAAATTAGAGGTGACGCTTATTGTTTAGTGATAGTACCGTGTTGTTTAATTTTCCAAAAATGGATCTTTTTAGTTCTGAGATAAAAAATGGAAAAATATGTATATAATCTCGTTGAAGAGTGAGTGAGTGAATATTAACGTCGCACTGTTTAGCTACACGAGGGCTTTTGGCGACGGACCTCGTCATTTTGAACCATGGTCAAGCGTCGTGGACGACACTTGAGCTGGCACCTCCCTCTCCTAACTACTGCATCACACCAACGGGAGGACATTTGAACTCTCGACAGATTTAACGTGCATCTCTCCCCAACACGGCGGGTCTTTAGTGGTACTGGGCTCGAAATCTTGATAAGGCCAGCCACGATCCGATACCATGACCACTCGGCTACCACGGCCATCTCGTTGGAGAAGTCAAAGCTCAAAATCTTCAAATTAGCATGATTTGGAATGTGGGTGTGTGTCGTCACTGGATCGTGGTTCTAGATTGAGAAGTCTTTCGCCAATAGTAATCCCGTTTGTTACGAAATACCTCGTTAATAATTGATGAATCAATCAAACGAAAGTCACATGAATATTTTGGGAGCAAAATACTTTATTTTTAAGGGCATATTAAAGGTTAACAACTTATCGTTAAGGACAGTGGCGCTCAGTCCTAGGGGTCCGAACACCCCCATATCCCTTGATTGGTTATAATCCTATGTATATATTACTTAAAATTTAATTATGTATTTATTAATGATTAATGTTATTAATTTATGCTAATTATTTATTCAATAATTAATTTTGTATTGTTTTTGTTCCTGAAAATCGACAAAATCCAAAGAATATGTTGGGTGGCGTGTTGGAACATGATACCCAAATGGGGGACTTTCGACTCTGGAAACTCAATATTGAACTGTTTCGGATTTGCAGCTGAAAATATTCAAAGCTTACAATTCAAAACATTCAGTTATCTCTATGTATATTAAAAACGCGCGTGAACTTTTCAACCAACCTCTAAAATGTTCTAGAATACGAAATAGTGACCACTCTGAGGTTGTAAAATCGGAAGATAAAAGAGGGCATAAAAAGCAGTATTAGCTTTTAAGGTGACTAACAATGTTAAGAAACGTAAATTTTTAAAAAGGATATAAATGGATAATTTTTTTGATATTTAGTGTCTTGAATAAGCATATACATATAAAGTTGTTTCAACAATACTATTCAAAAAGAAAAAAAGTAAGATTGACATATTTTCAAGACATTTTTCTTTCATAAAAAAATGATTTTATAATAATATTTTACCTTTATATAACTAGGACTTTCATACTAAGGTTGAACTAAAATTTTTAAAATACATAATTTTGAAATGAATTTTTTCATAATTTATTATATTAGAGAAGAAAAATTTTAACAAAAAACACCTGTTATTATTTTAATTTATCGTAACTCTGAAAGTAATGGGAATTTTTCAAAATTTTAGTTCGAACCGATATATAGAAATAATAGCTCTTTATATAGGTAAAATATTATTATTATTATTAAAGCATTTTTCATAAAAGGAGAGTGTTTTGAAAATATTTATCATTCTTTCTTCCTCTTTTGCCAAAAAATTGTATTTAAATCATTTTTTTTTCTCGTAATAATATTTTTAAAATGATTATACATGTATATATTCCAATTCAACTGACATTAAATATCAAAAACATATTCATTTATACGCTTTCTTGAAATCACGTTTCCGAACTTAATCACCTTAACACAGACTTAAAAATAATCTTATTAAAATAAAATAATGGAGTATCTATTTAGAGTTTATAACTCATTATCAAAATACAAAACTTTCAAAGAGGGAAAAAAAAAAACTTTAAAATTTGTTTTTTTTAAAAAAAAAATTTTTTCCTTTTTATTTTGGAAATTTTAAATTTCCCTTTTTTGTATTATTTTTGACATACTTTTTTTAAACAATAATCATTTTTTAATTTGTGTAATTTGTTATATTTTTAGAAGCCCACGTACTTAATAAAACTACAAATAAACAAGTAATATATATATAAAAAAATTAAGTCAATTCTCTAAGGTCAACAAAGAAAATTTTATTTTAGTTACTTTTTATTAAATAATTATATAATTAATATAAATATGTATATACATATGACCAGTAGCGCAACAGGAATTTTAAAAGGGGGCCCGGGGGTCAAAAGTTCACCATTTTTTATCATACTCCTTTTGATTTTGTCGATTTTTTGGGGAAAAAAACACAGTTAAAACCAATTTTTAATAAATACTTGCGTTAATTAATAAAATTAATCGTTAATAATAAATACCCAATTTAAATTTTTTGTACTTTTACTTTGCATTTTAATCAATCGGAAAAAAACAGGGTTTTTGGGGGCCGGGTCCCCCGGGCCCCCTTTGTGTGACTGCTATGACAGAATCAGAATATTATGTGGCAAAATAAAAAGCGATTCTCCTTACAATTTTCCATTTTCCTTTCCATATATAGTGTTGGAGTATTTTTTGTTTGTTACTATTTATTCATTAATAAAATTTAATTCTTATAAAATAGTACGGCAAAAAGAAATCACTCTTCTCAGAAATTAGGTCATCCCAGGCAGGACTCGAACCCACGACCTTTGGATTAGAAGTCCAATGCGCTATCCATTGTGCTACAGGGACACAACGAGAGGTTTTCCTTACTATATATGCTGTTGGACTATTATTTTTGTTATTTACAATTAATTAATGAATCAATATTTGAAAAAATGTATTAACATTAAATGTCATCCACTGCAAGTTTAAAAAAATGTAATTGAACTTGAGTGGATGAATAAAAAGTATTTTATTAACGACTGAAAATTTGAACAAGATATATATAGAGAGAGAGTGTGTGTGTAAACTATTAGTAGGAATTGAAAAAGGCAGCATCTTTAGAAGAAAAATAATGTTTCGGGGTAAAAGAAATATGTTAATTAAAACTGCTTATTTATTTATTTTGATTTAATATTATATATGTAGCAATCGTCAAAAAAAGTATTTTATCATTTCACAGAATATTTACTATTCAAAGAAATTCTTATTTTATTTTATGAATTTTAACTAATTATATAAGGAATTTATATTTACTGAAAGCTTTTATTTTATTTATTGATTAAATCAAATACTAATATATAATAGATTCTGAATGATTCTCTATCAACTTTTAAAATTGCCCTTTAAAATTTTTTTAAAAAAAATTTATACTTATGCATTAGTTTTTTTTACTTATGTATAAAGTTGCAAGTACATTTTGAAAATATGCTGATTATGGTATGTGCGTATGCTGATTTAATAGAACGTTAAATCAGCATTCATCATAAGCCTTGAAGATGCTATTTTCTCAAAATAAGATTGTTTTTAGAAATATGTTTAACACTTTTTTTATAAGAACTTTTTATAAAAAAAAATAGCAAAAGTTCGCAACTTTTGCTCTTTGTCTTGCAATGCTTCTTTTCTATTCCTATTCACCCTGATACACATATGTCCGATATAAAAACCTTTCAATACGGTAAGTATGAAATACATGAAATTTTAAGGCTATTTATAAAGTTTTGTTGATCCAAATTATATTTAAAAATATTCATAAATGAAACAAAAAATGTATATTTAAATTTTAACTTAGTGTTAATAAAGCAAGAATATCACACAATTTGTGTGTGTGTGACTTTGCCTTACAATTTAATATATACTTTAAATATTCTGTAAAATTATATTATTTGAGATATTTAATTTAATTCAGAAACTGGTGTTCTCTAAAAAGTCGGAAAAGCAGCCTTCATAATATTATTTATAGAGGTAGTTATAAATCATTATATAATGTTTACAAAATATCTGAAGTTTTTTAGATAATTTATCCAGCTATTTGTATTTTATTTATTAAATTCTTATTAATCCATGAAATCATAATGGTGTGCATACAAAAATAATTTTAAAACCAATATTCGCGTTATTGTATAGTGTTATAACTTTGCCCAAATAATTGCCTACCATAAAATTGCACACAAGTTTCATTATTTAACATTAAATAAAGAATGTCATAAATTGCTTACACACATATTTCTGAATTAACTTTATTGTTTAGCGAGTTTTAAACATATTTAGTTTTTTACACTTTACTGTAAATATATCAATGTTTTTGTAAAAATAAATACTTAAAACATATTTGTTTTCGAAACCGTTTGACATCTCAGTTTTATATGAGCCAATTTTTATTTTATTAATAATTTATTTTAATTGAAGGCTAATATATAAAATTACTATAATAATTCCTCTTACAATTTTGAAAATATTGACATTGTGCGTATCGTTTAAATGCATATATTGAAAGAACTTATCTAATTTAGAGAATTTCTATCAGTGCTTAAATCCAAGTTTTAAATATACTATATCCAAATTTCTTAAAATATATTAGTTACGTCAATTTATTTTTATCATTCTATGTCGATTTCATATTGCATAAAAATAAAACAGTAAAAATCTTTCCGTAATCTTATATTTGTTTTTTTTCTTCTTAGAACTCATTTTGGAGATTCCTTTTTTATAATCATAGTATAATATTAGAGTATATAATGGATTGAAAAGAGCAAAGATCGAAAGTAAGTAGCCGGTAGAAAAAATTTTTCAACGAATATATAGTATATTACTTAGTAGCATTTTTATAATATGCAAAAAGATTTTTTTTTATTTCTTATATGATACGGATTGGAGATAATATACAAAGATAATATTTATTTTTCTTGTTCAAATCACAGATGATGGATTTTAAAAAGCTGATCCATTCAAAGCTGTCTGATAAATAAATTCGCCGTCGATTTATTTTAAAAACTAAGAATATTTTACATCAACGTGAGAAAAAATGGAATGACACTTGATCGAAAGTAGCTGTGGACAGACGGAACCCTCAATTCTCTGCATAACTTGGAGAATTCCGTCCTCGGAAGATTTTGACTCAAACTCGACGCGTAAGTATAAATAGAAGCCATTTAACTAATCGCTATCACAAACATATCTCGAGGATGTTTATTGATTAAATAGCCGAAGTTTATTATGGGAAGATCGACTTTCACAAGCAGTATTATAAAAAATAACAAGAGAAAAGATCTGACATAGCAAGAGAGAAGGGATGCAATGTCAGTCCTACGATCCTCCCAAACATTGGGAAGGTTGTAATTGCCTAGTGGTTATGGTCGCGAACCCGTAACCAGCGTGTTACGGGTTCGGGTCCTGATGTCACTGAAGACCCACCGTGTCGAGTAGGTTGATACATGTTAAATAAGGGAAGTTCAAAGTCCTTCCGTTGGCGTGGTAGTTTGGAGAATTGGGTAACAGTTCAGATGTCGTCCTCGTCACTTTACCAAGGCTAAATTGACGAGGTCCGTCACCAATAGTCCTTATATCACTTTATAGTGCGGCAATAATGTCTAACCCAAATATTTTGTCTTGGAGCAAACTTGGAACATTCTTCTTTAAATTGTAACGAACTGTAAAAATAGTAATGAACTCTCTCCGACTGGAAAAAATAGCCCCGGCAAAGAAATTGTTGTTATTACCTGTTTTTGCTTCATTTTAAATATCTTTATACAATGCTTTCAGCTGCATATCGCATTTTCTATTCAAAAAGGTGGAATTTAGAGACTTCCAATCACATTAAGGTATCCAACTGCGTTCGTAACTGCTGTTTTGCAAAAGGGTATAAATGGATAATTTTTATGACATGTAGTGTCACTTAGATTAGAACACATTTATAAAATTGTTTTAGAATATATTATTACAGTAAAAAAATATTTAAATGCAATATTTTGGCAAAAAATGAACATAGAATGACCTATTTTCAAAACATTCACCTTTTATGGAAAAATGCTTCCATAATAATAATATTTTGCCTATATATAACTCAGATCTCTGAACAAAGTCTGAACTACGATTTTGAAATATATAACTTAGAAGTGGATTTATCCATATTTTAATGCAACAAAGCGGGGAAACTTTAAAAGTAAAAAGTACCAATAATTATTTCAATTGATAGTAATTCAAAATAATGTGAAATTTTTTAAAATTCGAGTTCAGGCCCTCTGGAGAAATCTTTGTTTTATATAAGCAAAATATTATTATTATAGAGGCATTTTTCGTCAAAGGAAAATGTTTTGAAAATAGGAAATTCCAAGTTCACTTTTTGCCAAAATATTGCATTTAAATAATTTTTATTCTAATAATATTCTAAAAACAATTTTTTACATATATCATAATCCAAAGGGCACTAAATATCGTGAAAATTATTTATTTATACGTTTCTTTTAAATCACGGTTCCGAACGTAGTCGGATACCTTAAAAGAAAAAATCTAAAAAAAGTTTTTACAAGATAATAATTAATAAATATGTACTTCGTCTCCTCTCTAAAATTCTCCAAATCATTAATAAAAAAAAAAAAAACATTTGCTCTTCCATATGAAAAAAATAATAAAAAGCAATTTTGACTGAAATATGCAATCGAATGTTACATTTAACGCTACTGCAGAGTGCAGCTAAAAAAGGAAAATTACATCTCTATCAATATTATATCAGATAAAAATATTTACGCCACTGAGAATAAAAAAAACCATTTATGAAAACCTTTCTTTTATTTTAAATAACTAGTACAAGAGACACTCCATTTCTTTACAGTGTTACATACAGCAGACAAAAATGACAAAATATAAATCTGAAATAACTTAGAATTTAAGAACAAAGTACTACACGCTCATGCTTTCAAAACATGGATGAGAGTAATCAAAGCACATTAAAAATGAAATTCAATCATAATCCAGATCTGTAGTCAATCTTATCCAACATAACCTCTCAGAAAACAGAATGCTTTTTCTTAAAATCTGAAAGAAAATAAAAAAAAATTAATGTATCAAATGGATTTTGAGTTATATGACCTTGTTATTAAAAAACAGATTTAGTTTAATTATCCTTTTTAGAAACATGAATGCTTATTCTACATTACAACTTCTAAGATTAAAAAAAATACATAATCTGGAAGATAATGTTTAATTCGAATATATTGTACAAATGCACGTTCAAAGCTTTATATATTTCACCCAACAATGATTTTAATAAAAAAAATCCATCTATGAACTTCTATATTTCTTTTTATGAAAAAAAATCTTCTTAACAATAGTTTCTGAACTTGCAACAGAAAATATGTTGTTTTCATTTAGGTGTAATCCACAAAAAAATAAAATAAAATAAAGAACCCTTTATATATATAAGCATTCTTTTTATTTATGTATTTAAAAATTATATTTTAGCATTTTATATATTATTTATATTCAAGAAAATGATACGAGATGAACATTATTCACACAAATATAAAAATTTAAATTTTCTAAAAAATATTTGGAAAATTTTAAAATTTTACTCTTTTTTTGTATTTATTAATTTTTTGACATGGATTTTTTTTTTTTTTGTAATATTCTTAAAGATGTCAAACAACTTTAGGGATCAGTTTTACAATAATTTAATCAGTTTTGGAGGGAAAATAATAAAATGATGATATGTTTCCTAAAATTCTGCGAAAACCCCGATATTTCCTACATTTTAATTTTTTTAAAAAAATGTATTCAATTTATAGCAAAATGGATTAATAATTTATTTACAT